TCCAGTTACATATTGATACAAACAGCAAATGCTGAGAGTGGCTTCTGGATCAAAAAATAGTCAATCTGAATGAATCGCTTTCACTTATCAAACAGTTTTAAAATGTGCAAACACTAATCATCAAAAGAGTAGCTCTAATATAATGAAGCCACCTGCTGTGTCACTGGAGAGCATTTGTTTGTGTCTAAGAGTGGACTTGGTGATGCTGCAATACTGATTTAAATCCTGGTTATATTCATGTTAATCTGTCAGGTGTATCTCTCAGCAACATATCTTAAACTATATTAAAATATGAATCCATTTCCACAAAGGCTGTGCAGGAAAATAAGTTTAAATATCAAATGAAAAGAAGAAGGCAGTGGCCCCAGATTGTCACTAATAAAGCTGGATAGTTTGTGAGTTGGTCATTTAACCTATTAGCAGTCAATCGACGCTCCGCAACAGGCTCAGTCGAGTCACACGAAGGCAGTAAAAGCAGCTCAAATGGCCGCTTGACTGATTATATGGTGTTATATAAGAATATCCTATATTAAGCCTAAATGTGGGAGCACTTCATTCCACTTTAAGTACCCATGTGCATCGCCTGATGTGAAACAAACTGGTAAAAGGCCATAAAAGAATTTTATTTTTTTTTCTTGGTGAAACTCCAACAGTCCAACCCACTGACTGCTGCTGTAGGAATGTTCTGCTCAGTGTTTCATACACTGGAACTAACGTGTGTTTTAAAGAGCTTCGGGCAGAACTGGGTCATCAGCGATTCAGCATGAAACTGCTCATTGATAGATGGCTCCTGCAGATGACAGTTGCGCTTTGACCACTTAACAGTCGTCTCCAATGCTGAAAATCGGTTGTACTCAGCCTCACTGACCCACATCCAGCGCTTGAGAGACTGTACCGGAACATCGAGAACATGTTCCTGGTGTGTGGAGGTTACTATCAAAGAATCACTGATACACCAGTACTTTTCCTGATTTTTCTTGCTTTACATGTAAAATCTTTGAGAGATATGGAATAAAAAGTTCACTTAATTGATTTAATCTGACAAAAAAAACCCCAAAAACCCATGACAGATATTTGAAAGTATACTTTGAATGCACATAAACTACTTTATTGTTTGTAGAGGCTCATGATGGAAAAAAACCCCACTGTGGTCAGCCAGAAATAACCCTGATTTGTCCCAAGAAACAAAGAAGTGCCTTTACACAGGATGGCAGCGTGAGTTTCACAACATGCCCGGAGGCTCAAAGCGGCGTACCTTGGTGATGGGAGCCTCGATAGTCATGGAGTGAATCCTGGCCACAGAGGAATATCTTCGATTCTGCAAACTGGGAGCTGCAATTAGAAAAGATTTTGTGTATTATGATATTATTAACTATTAATTAACATTACAAATAGTGCAAACTAAAGAAAGAAGATCCCGATTATTGGCTGTTAAGAGGCTTATGAATAAAAGAGGAGAACGGAGGAATACATGGAAGTCTATAGGATGATTGGAGAGAGAATTGAGAACATGTAAGAGTGATGACGGACGACCGACGGACAGAAAATGGTTTGACTGAAGGAGGCCGAAGCAGCGGAGAAGCAGCACTCAGCTGAGAAACCTGAAAATAGCAGCAGCTGCGTCAGTGAGTTGAGGAGGGAGGAGGACGTATGTCATCAGCCCACAACATCTCTCTTTAGGATCTCTTTAGTTCAAGTACCATACCACAGTCTGACTCACTCTCTGATTAGCCATCTCCAATCATCATCCCCACTCCTCCATTCTGCTCCTGCCTTTACTTCATTCCCAGTGCATCCATCCCATTGTCTCTCCATTGTTATCTGCTTGTCTTCTCCATAGATCGGCACAAGCCGGACCTCCATTCATAGAAACAGAGACTCAGAAACAGGACTTGGAATTGGCCTTACCGTCACTGCCACGGGAGCTGAGCGATCTGGCGTCAATTGAGTCTTTCCTCCTGTCTCTGTGACGTAGAGAATGGCACTCTGTGGAGGGAAGTAATGGACGTTACATGCACAATATTTTTAGATGGAGGGACAGATTAGTACCGACATGGGGACAGTGACGATGCTTTCACTCTGAAGCACATTTCATTTACCCCAGACTGTGTCTCTTATGTATTTTTATAAAGTCTGTAAGTATTTTTATCCTGCAGCATACAATATTTTTTAAGAAAACATATTGTAAATAAGATTTTTTTCACATTGTGACTTTTTATCAAAGAGTGACAATGCATGTCACAATACAAATACAGTGTTATCTTCACATGAAGCTGTGAAAAAGCAGTGTGGTACCTGACTGAGAATGCTCCCCGCTGCATCTCTCCTCCTTGTTGAACTTGTGGACCTGAAACACAGAGAGCAGCACATGATTAAAGTGGAAGTGTGTACTGTTGGTTTGCCTTCGCTGTGCCGACTATAATCAGTCTAATTTCCTGCCCCTTGAAAGCAACATGCTGGCAGGATAACTGCTGTTGATTAAAGACTTAATGCGAACAAGCCATTTGATGTTCTTTATAAACTGAGTTTATCTTTTTCTTGCCTCACCTCTGCAGTCGGTTGTGATTGTAAAGTACAGCAGGCTAATGTGCTTCCTTTAAACTGCTACAGATGCTTTTGTGCTACAATTAAAGTGTACAAAGAGCTGTCATGCTCCGTTTTATTTTAGTGACTCCAGTTACGTATCATTTCTTCTCTAAACACAACCTGCGACTGTAAAAATCAGCTCTTGCAGTGAAAGTAAGTGGATGAAACATCAGGGATGGCTCTGCACCGCGAAGCCCAAATCCAGCAGCGTTACCTGGCAGGGTGAAGCTGAGCGGCGGCCACGGCCACCACAGACTCAAGTCTGGCTAATTCACAAAACCAACAGTGAAGCCTGTTAGAGGGCTGCACATGTGCTCTTAGAAGTGGACTTACATCCAGTAACTACTAGTTTTCTGCCAGAACCCTTTGCAGAACCATTTCTCTTGTTGTTCCCATATAGATGCATTTTAACAACAAACATCCCCCCGTTTAAACCACAGACAACCAAGTAGATCTGACCGACCAGAAAAGTTTGTGACAAACCAAAAGTGTTGTAATACTGTCACTAAAAAGTGTATAGACAGTATAAAAATGCATCTATTTGTGTTTTCATTAGTTTAAGTGTGTGTAATTCAGGTTTATCTGTGGATTTACAGGAAGGTCTTATACAGACTCTTAAAGGCTGAAGGGATGAACCCGACTTTTCAGAACTGTTGAATGATGCAATGCAATGTCATAAGAGACTTAGATGTGCTCATCTTATGTAATTATACTCAAGCTTTACCAATAATTGAAAATAGTAACTTTCACAATAATCATTACATATATGACTTTTTATACTGGATGTGAGTTTTCATGTACTTCCTCATGCCTGCATGATCAAATGATCATTAATCCAGCTACTTTGCAGAAAAACTGTTAAAATGAACAAATGAGCTGCAGGAATCACTTTTGTATAGCGTGTATGTAAAAAATAGTGTAATATCAGCATATTTAAGCACACATGCAGTCCTTCTGTGACACAGTTTGGTGTCCAACTTAAAAAGTTGAATCCATTTTTTTTTAAGTTTGTGTCATTATTGCTCTTAATCTTCTTTGATAAAGAAAATGTATTAATTCATTTGTGATCAGCAGATTTTTTTTTCTATGAGAGGACCAGATCCTAATTATGTCTCAGATTCAATCAAGAACTTTGCTATTTCAAATAACAGCTGAATTTAAAATGCTGATTCGGATTTACTGTGATAAGTTACTTTGAAACCTGTAGCACATTTAGTCAGGTTCACAACAACACACCTCCATGCAGGTGACACTCCGTACAGTACATCCTGTTTGTCACAGCGAGGTTATGTAGATATGGATGTGCAGAGCCTCTAATCTGGTTACAGAAGATTTTCCTCACCCAGTGACTCACTGCACCTTTATATCTTGCTGACAGTGCAACATGCATTACATGATGAACAAGTACATCCAAACAAATGGATTTAAAGTGTATTTATTCACTTTTTATGCGCAAAATCAGGATTTTGATTTTGACATTTTGATAGGGATCGTTGAAAGGGGTTGCTTAAATATCAATTTCATATTTTTTAAATCCTTGTCACTCCAACACAATTGCTCATTTTCTCTTTTTTTCTTTTTCTTCTACAGCCCTCCTCTCGAAATAAGTCGCTTGCTCTCAGGTCTCCAGTGGGTCCCATACTGAGTAAATAGGATTAAGACAGTATAAACACTTCTAATGACATACACGGTTGCCAGATTTAGCTGGCTGCATCATAATGGGCTTGTTGGGCTGCGCAGCACAAACAGTCATCTAAAAAAACATCTTTCGAATTAACTCGACTAAAGCTGGGAAATAGTTGAGATGATGATGGCCCTTAATTGAGATGAAAAGACAAACAAAACTGACCCTAAACCTGCTGTAAGTCTGGAGTGCTTAGACAAATACTGCTATACTAAACAACACAATGAAATGGAAACCGTGGTCTGCAGCCAAACGTCTGGGTGGGAAAAGACGGGGAGTAATGTGTGGTTTTAAATGCTCAGAGGAAAATGTCCTCAGCAAGGATACAGTATCGGAGCAGTGGTATCCTGAAAGGACCTCTGTGGACTTCCTTTGGTTGTCAAATGGATGACAGCGTCTCAGTGAAGATGCAGCACAGGCCTGATGATATGATTTACTTTAAAATGTCATCTAATACTAAACTTTTGTTCCTACTTTGCATCTGCAGTTCCCTTCTCTATTTTGTGGGGAGCCACAAGAGACACACTGATAACTCCATTCAGTTTGACGCTGCACTATCCAGGTTGTGGGGGATGACTTCCATGATTTAGAGAATGGGATCAGTCGCTGCCATGTCTAAGGATTCCCGATCCCGACCAACAGGAATGATTGCCATTTGGCTTTGGCAGACAGATGCCAGCGGCTGACTCACCTCGTGTGCACACGATGAAAGGGAGCAATGCGCTAAAGCTAGTCCCTGTGCAGCTTTGCCCGAGGTATAAATAGCCCTGGCGCCTGGCTGCTAGCCTCCCCGGGCCTTAGTGGGGGATCCTGGTGCTTAGCCGTAGCTTAGCATAGTATGACGTTATTGGCCTGGAACCCAGCTGAGAGCAGCGACACACCTGCTTCAGAGTAACTGTGCACGGGGCTCAACAATGTTGGAAGCCTGCTCGGCTGCAAGCCCCGCTGAAGTACTTAAACCTGACACTTTAGCCTACAGTTCATTTGAAGTATTTATGTAAAACTGACTGCCAGCAGAGTTTGCAACCCACGCTTAAGTCCTGTTTGGACCCGGTTGCTCATTTGTTCAGCGGCTCTGATTGAGCCAAGCTGTGCCGTAGCATTAGGGCTGCTGATAGACTGACGTTTGTTTAAGCTCTACAACAGAAAAATCAACTCACTGTTAAAGTCTTTTTTTTCTGCTTCAAACAGCTGCTCGGAGGATTTTTCGTCTGAGCCTGCAAATCAGCATTTTGGGCACATTTAAGAAAAAGTAGCTTTACCCCCTAGTTAGACAGGCAGGCTATTTAAAAGAAATAAAAAATAGAGCCAGAAACTGTCAAAACAGAAAGAATCGTCAACTTTCCAACAGTTCCTGAACTATTCATCTGCTGTTCTGTCAAAGATTTCATCACACCTCAGCACAAAACTGGGACATTTCATCAAAATTACTTAATTTTACACGTCTTATTTAAGTGTTGCCAAAAAGAAACCATTTGCACCAGATTCTGGCAAAAACACAGACTTCTGCACGCCGAGGCACAACTGAGTGACTCAGCGGTGACCAACAGTCATATGACTAAAATTCAGGGCTGAAAGTGAGCCCACAGGAAGTAAAAATGTGACAGGAGCAAATAAAAACTCAGAAACTGCTTCGGGTTCAGAGAGTTTAGATGAAAAAGTGCTGCGACTCCAAAGGCACTGTTTGGCTCAAACTTTACCTGAATGAGTCGATGGCTCGTCAGAATGAAGATTTTTATTGCTTCTCTTCATGGTTCTGTTTGATTTCTTTAAAGAACCTCTGAGGTGTGTATCTAAATACAACCAAGGTAGCCCTGACTGAAATTGAATACAGTATTTCAAAAGAAAACTAAAAAACAACTGAAAACAAACGTACCTGTTCCAAATTAGATTAGATTATCATGTGACATACCTGATTATTGTTGTCAATATGAGGCCTCTTGATGGCTACAAAATGTCGAATTTTCCTACAAGGAGCGAGAGAGCAATCTGTCAGGGAGTTGTGATTTTTAGGCGATGTACAATTACTACTTTGGGTTGTTTAGACGTTGCTCACCCTCCTTGGCCGATAACTGGTGTTATCTTCACATGCTGCTGTATGCTGTCGCCGGACTTCTTTCTGGCAAAGTAAATACCCTGCCATTCCTTCAGAGACAACAGAGCAGTTAGACTGTGAACCATGGTTTTATTTGAGTCAGATGGAGATGCGTGGATGGATGGATGGATGGATGGATGGATGTGTGACTGACCTTTCCTTTTTTGATGCAGGTGTTGATGGTGTCCAGCAGGTCCGCTCTGTTCTTGTCGCTCTTTGGAAGTTCAGTCAGTTCCTTCCCGATCAACTCCCCCTTGTGGTAGCCCATCATCCGTTCAAATGCTGGGTTCACATACTGGGACAAACCAGAAAGATGTTAAAGGATGGGTCTGGTACATAAGGTTAGTCTTACTGTCCACAAATACCATGAATTACTCCTCTGAGCTCCAGAACCCGCCAAAGGGTTTGAAAGGAAAAAAAAAAAAAGAGTCATCAGATTTTCAACTTTTCAGTGGCCCTTGACTGTATTACGTCTGATGTGCAGTTCCATCAGGGACAAATGGCCAAATAAGAGCTTAAAATCCTGATATTTCATTGATATGACTTTACATGTCTTATTCAAGAATTTGTCAAAAATAGATCAGATTCTAAAAAAAGTAAAAAAAAAAAGTAAAATTCTGCTGTCAGCACAACTCAGATCAGTCACATGACAAAAGCTCAGGGACTTCCTGTCATATCCACAGCTGACAATAGTTTATTAGGTCTTCCATTAACTTCCGTACACCAAATTTTCCTAAAAATTACAATGAAAATATATATTTGTGATCCATTTTAAAGTATGTGTATTCAGCAGGAGCCACCGATGCTGATTCTGATTGTGGGTAAATCTGACAGTATTGACAGATGAGCATGATGTTAGTTTTGGATATTTCATCAGGATTCATTCATAACAACAAAGATTGTATAATATTAGCAGCTTTTTGTGTTTTAAAGAAAAAGTTTGAGGTTTTGCTGAGTCTGCACTGCATATGAAGGAATACACAGTTAAGTCCTAAATAATTCAAAGCAAAGCAAAATTTTCATTTCATGTCAATTTTTGTTTAATTAAACAGTTTCTTCTGGTTGGAAATGACATAAACATGTGTTTCTACGTTGTTGTTTTTATCAAAAAAAGAAAAGAAAAAGCCATATCCAAAACTATTTATACTCCTCGACACGGTTGTCTGTTCTTGGGAAAATGCTGTTTTTGTACCATTCCAGATGGTCCTGATCATTCCTACAATGTTCTAGAGCGTTCTAATACACTATAAACTGTTCCTCTAGGTCGGTAATAAATGAGTTTACTAGCAAGTAACTAGTCAACTACATGCCATGACTAAAACCAAAGAGCTCCGTGAGCTTGTAATTACTAAGACAGAGGTGCTCATTTTGGCTGATCACAAGACTGGAAAAGGCTATAAAACCATATCAAAGTGTTTTCAGGTGCCAGTGGCCACAGTGCAAAGCAGAATCACAAAGGATGAGGAGTTCCACACTGTGAAGAAGAATCTATAAGGATGTGGTAAGAAGATAAAAGTGATTCCTGCACTCGTAAGAAGAATCCAAAGATCAGCACCAAGACCATCCTGATGAATCTGATCAGTTCTGCTAGAAACATCTCAACGAGACACTAAACAAGGCTGATCTCCATGAAAGAGGACCAGGAAAGACGTCTTCAAGACTCATACACAAAAGCTTGACTGACATCACCCCTGAGGTTGGATGAGATGAAAATGGAGTTGTTCAGACACAGATATTAAAGAAAGAACAATCATTCAACCCCAAGATCACCATCTCCACAATGAAGCACGGTGGAGGTGGTGCTGCCTTTTTATGTTCCAGTCAACCTGGTCAAAGTTCATCATGAGAAAAGAGGACGACGTTACGATTGTTGGGTGACACATCAGACAAACGGCAGAAAAACTTGTCGTTGGGCAGCAGTGGACCTTCCAACAAGACAAAGATCTGAAACAGGGGTGCTGTAACATAATTAACATGAATGAAGATGTTGGAGCGACTCAGTCAGAGTCCAGACCTGAATCCATCGACAATCTGTGGAGGAACTGAAGACCAGAGTGATGCAATGAAGCCTTCAATCTCAGAGAGCTGGGGATCATTACAAAGAGGAACAAAATCCCAGTGGAGACATGAGGAAAGATTTTTAGTAGTTATGAGGACTGTTTGAGAGTTTTCCATCAATAACAGAGTACAAATAATTTTGCCATATTTAATAAAATGCTATAACAACAACATAGAAGTCGTTTATTTATCATCGTCGTCTTTTATCACTTATTTGTCATTTCAGGCAGAAGAAACCTTTTGGTCCAATAAAAAGTCACTATAAACCACATTTTGGCATGTCTACGTATATGAACATCCCTACCTGTATTATGTGGTCCTCACTGGTGATCTCCACAGCCTCCTGACAGTGCTCCAAAGCAGTGAAGATAGAGTTACAAGCCCTGTGGATGAGTAACACCACTGTAAGCCAGCAGCATGTTGCACTACAGTGTGTCTGCGTATGCATGTTTAACTGCACAATACGCTCTTTTTCTCTGCTGTACCTGAGTTTGAACTGGCAGCGCACCTCTCCGTGTTCGATCTGTATGAGCTCATTATAGCAGGCTGATACGCTGCTGTTCTCCACAAACCTCTGGAGGCCAAACAAGGTTAAGTGGTGTTTGAAGAAAAGGGAGAGAGAGAGAGAGAGTAGTGGAAAATTGAATGAGTCAGGATTCAGTCAGTAGCGACTTGTTTTGAAACCTCCTACGTCATCTTCACACCATTAAACCCCGCTGACAATACGAGCCCCTTTCAAAACCGGCACCACGCTGCTATATTAGTGTTTGAAATCTCTTTAGATACCCAATAAAAAAAAATAAAAAAAAGTATCAAGGAGAAACAAGCACAACATGCCAAGGCCTAACGTTTGCTATAAACACAGTCACAAGTGCAGGCAAGTTGTTGGACGTACTCTGCTAAATCCAGCGCAGAGGAGAGGAAGAACAGATGGCTCCTCCTGGTCAGGCAGTCTGCACAATGACAGAAAAGAATGATTACCATCTGCAACCACAATCATTTTTCATAAACATGTGGTCCATACCTACAGTATATGGAAAACTATGTCGCCTAAATGCCCTGTTTTTCTCAGTCAGCTTGTCAGCGTGAGTGATAGGATCCAACGTTAACACAGTACTTTCTGCCAAACTTATTTCACATGAAAAGATTTTCTGTTTTTCATTTTCGCCCTCATGCAGTCCTGATGAAGCACATTACTGTCAATCTGTCACATAAAAGCCACCGTTCGAATGCTGTCAGGGTATCGGATAGTAGCACAAACAAATACAAGACCAGTTATGAACGCTGAAGAAGAAACACTGAGGGCGGTGGAATGAGATGATATGTAGCCTGCTATCAGAGCAAATTACGTCTATTTACGCAGTCAGATTTCATCAGTGCAACAACGGAGATCTGACTTTCTCTGTCTTTTTCTTTTTAATCAGAATAAAACTCAACTAAAAAGTGCTTATATTCATGCATTACAGGACATAAATCTGACATGATAGCAGAAGAAACTACACATATATGGCACTACAAGGCCTTTATTTGAAAGAATACCTCACTCATTGTCAGTGTAGCTCCAAACAAATATGTAACTTTCAATGCTAAATGCCGAACAATGAATTAAGTTTTGATTGTTGAAAATATTCAGCCCTGTCTCCTAAAAATTATATGTGCTCATGCAACTAAGATGCATTCTTATTTACGCTTTAATTAAATGCATTTTCTCCCCAGAAGGTGAGACTGGCTTTTATTTTGAAGGATGTCAAAGGCAACTGGACTTTCATCCACCGGGATTCACGTCCTGTGTGTGACCATAATTCTTAGACTTAAGTTGTGCTGTGGGCTGTGGGAAACATCATGATACGGTTGACATTTTCACAATGTTAGCTCCTTACTAGAATCTTAGCTCAATTCATCAGCACCAAAACCTCTTGGTTAGGTTTAGGAAAATGTTACAGTTTTAGAATTACACAACATGCTCGAAGCTTCTCCTTCATGTTCTGGGTTACGGGGCCGATGAGTCCAGAAAAGGAGCAATGATAAAGCAATAAAATAAATGCTGAAGATATGTTGATTTGAAATGTAACTGTGATACGTCACGAGCAAATTTAATTTGGCAAAACATACATCTGCCTCAAAAAGAATGCAGTTGAGTTGCATAGGAACATAACAAGACAGTCCATTACTGTCAATCTGCCACATAAAAGCTAGTGATCAAATATTGTCAGTATCAGTTCAACTCAGATTCCACCACCAACAACAGCATCATCAAGTTTCTCTCTCTCTTGTTAAAGCAGAAATAACATTGTCATACTCTAATCTCATGCAATCTCATGTCTTCTTTGCAATGTTCTTGACTGATGTTAAGCTACTGGACACAAAAGCCCACTCTTCCCATTGCTAGAACTCAAAGAGATCATTGCAAACTGCTGTATTAACTTGCTTTGTTGAGTCCGAACATTACTTCCAGTGTGAAAAGGAACACTGCAAGGCTTACAATGTGAACATTTTGCAGGAGACGCTTTCATTCATGGTGGCTTAAAAATACAAGAACCTGACATGGGAAACTAGATATAAAGGCCTGTCTTCAATAAAATGTCTCTGAAAGGCTGCTCTGTTTCCTGAAAATTACATTCCTGCTCAACTAAACTTCTCAGTTACATTTTGAGGGAAACATATATGGTTGTTTGTGATGTATCATAAATGAATTAAAACATTTCAGCTAACCAGTCACGCACGAGATGGGGCAGGACTTATCACTCTGGGAACTCATAAAATAAAGGAGAAGCTTCAAATATGTTGTTAAAGGGAAGATTTTAACCCTAACCATGATATTTTCCAAAACCCAACCAAGTAGTTTTGGTGCCGGAACTGAACCAAGCTTGTAACATTTAGTTATTTGCGTGAAAATGTCAACCAGAGCGTGATATCTTCCTAAACTGAACCAAACAGTAGGTGAAAATGAAACTGAAAGAATAAACCTCAGTCTCCTGGGTTAAAGTCCTGCTGCTGAATTGTGCCTCCATGATACCTCCTGACAAAGAATCTGTTCCTCCTTCAGACTGGAAGTCTTTCTTACTACATCACAGTCCTACCTTTATAGGAAAAAAATATATTTCTTTTATAAACATGAAAGCAGTTTTGTTGTATAGGAACATCATTTTTAGGAGACAGGGTTGTAAAAGGCCTTATTTTGGAAATGTAGTACCACAAAACAAAGGCCTTGTCTGACCTTGAGTTTTGACCTCCTAAACATTTTTTTTGAAGCTTTGAATGATGATAAATACTTTTTCAAAGTTTGATTTGAAGCCAAGTTTTCAGGGTCTTTCACAAATCAATAAATTTACAAAATCAAACTTACTTTTGTGGCACAACAGCGAGAACGACTGTGTTTTCAGAGGGCTTTGTGGCACGGATCATCCTGGAAATAAAACAAATGCAGATTAAAAGTCAGCAGGAGTTCATTTCATCCACACTTTGAGCTCAGGCGAAGCGGCTTGGACTCAGGTACAGGATAAACATGTGGGCAGATTGGAGGTGATGTCATTGCCGCAGAAGGAGGGCAGAACATTTCTGTTCTTTACACAGAAACACCAAACACAGCATGTGCTTCAGAGGTTCGGCCACAAAACCACACCACTGGCAGGACGTACGGGAAAGTGGCCGGGAGGTGGAGGAGGACTGAGCGGAGGGTGACGGAGGATGAGAGGACGAACGGAGGGAACAGATGATGGCAAAGATCCTCACGGGGGATCGGGAAGGGAGGAGGAGGGAGGAGAGAGAAAAAACAAAAAAGGAGCAAAGGAGCAACGGACAAACATGGAGGAGCTGCCAGACTGTGGTGATCGGGAGACAGGAGAGACGAATGGATCTGTTCCTTTACTTGAGGAAATAATGAAGCACTTACAGTAAATCACGCTACAAAATATATGGTGGTGGCTTTTGGTCAGCACTGTATCTAACAATAAGTGTAGCCCCAAAGGTCTGCAGAAAATCAAACCCAGAACTCACTTGTCTTGGACAAAAATAAGTTGTCTTTTAAACAGATGTCAAAAAAAAAAAAAGCCAAAGAAATTAGTTGTTTGCATTAATGGGTGGCGTCTATGTCCGCATTTAACTTGACAGCATTAAATCAAATGAGGAAACCAACATCTTCAAAATAATGTCGAGAAACTTGGCAGGAAGCGGAGGAAACAGCTTAGGATGTGCAAATTTGTGCGCGGCTAAAAATACTTCCTAAATAAATCTTGAGATGCTCCTGCTGGCCAGAAAGTAACAGGGGACAGACCAGTATAACCAGTATGAACTTAACAGCTGGCAAAATACAGGGAATGAATGAGGTTATTCTACAATCAAATAAGTTTCTGAAAGGTGGCCAGGGACATTTGCTGTGGAAAAATCGACAAAAAAGAAAACAAAAAACCTTTTTCAAGCTCTTGCCCGTGTACTTGGTTCCCCTGAGCTACTGTCCAGCTTTCAAACAACCTCCCAGTGTGTAGTTCAGGCCCACTGAAGCGTCACTCTCCTGTAACCTCTAGGGACTCGTGACATCCAGTACCCACTGCTGTGTTTTAGAGCAACGCTGAATTGAGCAACCTGTGGAAGTCCAGCGAATGCGGAGCTTCAAGTTGCAGATGTCTGTGGTGCTTCCGGTGAACACCAGATGGCACCAACAAGCCCTCCAACTACAGCGTCCTGAAGCCATTTACAGTGCAGCTCATTTTAGACACTCAGGCCTCAAGCTGCTTGTATATGACGGATTTTAGGTAAAAGCTGAGAAATGTCAGCAGTGAACATCGCTGAAATAAACGATAACAGGATCTTTGTTTTGCTTTAGGCTGATGAAGGCTGATCAAACTCTTCTTAAAGGTTCCATTTTGCGCCTCTTTTTTTTTTTATTTGATTTTTTTCAAATCAAAGAAAATCTCACCCAGAATCTGTCTTTAAATTTTCCATCTCCATAAACCACAACTACCACAACTGTTGAAAGCGAGCCGTTTCAGTAGTTTTGCATGCAGCCAAGCTGCTGCTTGTCCACGCCCCCGTCAGGAAGAAGACTCTCTCAGCATTTGTGTTTGAGCACAACAGCTGATCCAAAGGCAGCTGATGCAGACATGGATGACTGTGTGAGACCAGCACTTTCTATCACCTCTACCTTCTCTCTGAACAATCGTTTTTACATGCACAGCCATTGTTTTTACGTCTTGTGTTTGGTGAGACTGTCAGGCAATGTTGTGGTTATAAAATCAGTAGCTTAGCATTGTAAAGCTTATAAATGGCTCTGAGATGACTCCCAGTTAACCTGTAGAATGAACTGAACTTTGAATTCTGCTGCACAGTGCTGCCTGGTTATTATCATACCCTCGGTCCAGGATGGAATTATGACTGTATCCGGGATATTCTAATAAGCAGGCTTCAAGATTAGCATATCGAAGTGTTCGTAACGATAGAGCACTGAGATAAATGTGTCTGTGTGACAAAAAACGGGGGTTTATACATACAGCAAAAATGGGAATGTCAAAGGGACAGTTTCTTTGAAGATCAATAAATATTTATTTAAACGGAGCTTTATGGTTTTGCTTCAGTGAAATGTCACCTTTGTCGGTACGAAAAGCCACCCTACCAATAAAAGTTGTTTCCTTTAATCAGAGGGTATACAGAGGATGAACTTATCATGATTAACTAGCTGAGCAGTTCACTTATGAGTGACAACATGCTCTGCATGATGTGCCCTAATTAACATCACAGTGTGAGAATAACTCAGTGAAGCAGATCTCAGGTGAACAGGTAAGTGACAAACAAGCCAACACATTGCCTTCCGCGGCTGACCGAGGTGTGATAATCTGCCACGCATGACCAACACTCGGCCTGTGAGCTGTAACGATTGACCGACTTCGACTTTAAACCGGCAAAAGTTATTCCTGGAATCAATGTCGGGGAATTTTGTTATGACAAAAACCGGGATTATGACATTATTCTATGACAATAAATGGACTGTTTTACTATAGGTTATATAGGAAATGATTCAGGACTTCGACATTTTATGATTCTAATTCTATGCAGCAGTATGACATCAAGTGGGCAGCACTGTATTGAAACGTAGCCTGTATGAGCACAGAGAGCAGGAGAGAAGCATGTGAACACCAGCTGAAGCACAACCGGTGAAAAACACAGTTTCCCAAATTGGTCCTTAAGTTTCCACCATCTCATGTCATTTAGCTTTACAATTTTCTGATTCTGGCTATATCATCAAAGATAAATGTAACGTAACACTAAGGATTTTCCTGCTGTTGTGGGGACACTGTCATCAAAAATAAAAGTAATTTACATCCTGGGAGTGCATGGAGACTCTTGTGTTTGCTCTTGCAGCCAACAGAAGAACATTTGGTGTGTTTTGCTGGCGGCTGAGACATTTTAGAGTTTGTGGAAGCAGCCCTATAAAGGAAATAAACCTGGTGGACTGTGAGGCAGCTGTTCATTTTGAATGGTTCACCTGGAAACAGCAGGGGACGGGGCGGGACTATGCAGCTCGACTACTGTCACAATGGGAGGCAAACATACAGAAACAGCGACTGCAGTCACAAGTCAAGACTCACCGGCAGACTGCTTCAGGCTCAAAGTAGCGCGAGTGACGTCCATCGATAACGATTATCTCGTGGTGTTTGTCCAGGAAACACTCGACTGCAGACTCGGGTGTCCGTGCGATGTTACACCTGAAGCCAGCGCGGTCGCAGGCCCACCAGAAGGCATCGCTTTGGCTGTCCTCCTTGGCAAACACCAGCAGGACCTGAGGAGACACGAAGACATGAAGGCCTAAGATGAGACAGTGCTTCTACTACCGTGGTGATCGTAGCATAAACTGTGCATGTTTGTAATTTTACTGCTCAGATAAGACACTTTCCAGAACAGAAGACCAAGAACTATCTGTTAGGTACGGTACCAGGAAAGTTGGTGCTCATAAACTGCTAAACTAAAAAAGTAATGTCACAGAAGTGTCTCATCATTATTCAACGATATTCTGTTAAATTAATGCAAAATTAGGAGTTTGCATGTTCTCCCCGTGCAGCGTGGGTTCTCTCTGGGTTCTCCGACTTCCTCCCACAAGTCCAAAAACATGTGGAGGTTAACTGGTGATTGTAAATGTGTCCCCTGCCTTCGCCCTAAATCAGCTGGAATAGACTCCAGCCCCCCACGACCCTAGTGAGGATTAAACGGTATATAGATGATGGATGGATGGATGGATGGATGGATAATGCAAAATTATGCAGCAACTAGGCATCATGAAACCGTAGAACATGAAATGTAAATTTCTCAATTATGGTTTCAGATTTTTTTACACAAAAGACAAAACAGGACAAATGATGCACAGAACAGATGTTAACCCCTTCAACCCCAAGCTGTTTTTGTGTGTGTGTTGTTTTTTTTTCTCCCTTCATCTTTACTCACCATGAGCTCATTTTTCACTGCAATATAAAGTCTTGTACCTTTATGGAAACAGCACAACCATGGCTAGAAGCAGAGAGAACTCAAAAATGGCTTTAATGCAGCTTAACAAAGTTATAATGCCATTTATTATAAAAAATATATATAT